TGAAGAAGGAACATTCCATATTGGTAGTGCAAGTAGAGGAATTGACTTGAAGTCAATTGGTGAAGAAAATGACGATAGTTATGATAATGAAAATGATTTTCGTGAACATGATGATTGGTTTGATGAGGATCCTCCTCATCTAGGGGATAAATAATGAACAATTTTAATATATGCATATTTGCATATTGGTTTAAGTTTTTTGGACTTGTTTTTCATATATATATATATGTGTGTGTGTGTGAGAGACAGACTTGTTAATTTTGAAATTTGTAGTTGTATGAGACTTTTGTATATACATATATATATATACTTAGTTTTAAAACTTCTTTCTTATATATATATATATATATATTTAATTTTAAAATTTCTTTCTTATATAAATATATTTGTTTATGGAATTTATTTTTGATATTATTATATGAATTTATATCTTTATTAAGTTTAATTTAAATTGAAAATTGTTATATAAGGCTAGAAATTACAAGGAAAAAAAATGTAAAAACAAAAATAGGCAAATATTGGAAATGTCCATAACTAGAAATTGCATTTTATGGCTTTTGTCTTTTGACCGATCTATTGATTAGTTGAACCGATTGAACAGATCAAACTAAGAACCAATGAGCAAACTGATTCTCTTACTAGTTCAGGTTTCAAAACCATGGTGGAAACATAATCGAGGCTCGTTTTAGTGGGATTGTTCTTAAATGAAAAAAAAAATGAAAAAGTCTAAGAAGAGAAGCTTCTAGATTCTACGCACCTTATTCGGACCACTGTTGGGCCTAATAAGTTCTAACAATGATTTGACTATGTTGAGTAGAATCCCTTTTTTCCCTTGACCCCTCAAACCATGCCTAATTCATTCTACTCCAGTTTAAACAACATGCTCTAAAAGACTTGAATACCATATAGTCTCACCATAAATAAACAATATTAAGTATACATATTTGTGGTTTTGGTAGAAACGAAATTGGGGATCGCAGTGGTGGTCTTATCCTCAAACGAAAGAATTAAAAAAAAAATTAGATTTTTCCCGTTTTGTTCAAACCCCTTGCAGTCAGAATAATTTATACGGACAGTCTATGGTATGAAAATACTTGCCAATTCAATACAAAGGCTACTCATCCTTGCACCATCAAAAAAGAAAAAAATTAGCACAAGTATAAAAGGGATGTGGTTATGGTCATGGATAAAGGACGTTTAATTTTTTCAAATTATTATTATTATTATTATTATTATTATTATTATTATTATTACAAATATTAAAGTTTCTTCAAAATAAAGCATGCTAGAAAATGGACAAACAAGAAACACACAAATATTCTCCACAAAAACAAGCACATGGAATAAGAGAACATTGAGATAATAATGGGCAGTTAATAATATAATATCATTATTTTATAAATATATATATGGTTAATAAGAATATTATGCCATTATTTTATAAATATATAAGTCTAACGTCTTAGTTATTGTAAAGTGACGCTATAAATGTGGTGTCCTGAGAGTAGTAGCACTACTGGTAAAGGGAGGTGTCATGCCAAGTTGCTGTTACAAGAATTATAAATTTTCATTTAAAGTAGCAAATTCAATCCCAGATGCATGTAGCTCAGCTTTAGTCGCTTGTAACTTATCCTTCAATGATTGAACAGTTTGTTGTAATTCCCCGACCTGGGGAGAGTGCTGCATCATCAATGGTGTAATACCCCAAAATTTCTAGAATATTAAAGTTGAGTTGGGGACTATTAATGACCTTAATAATAGAAAACTCCAAAGTTGAGGGACTAAAAAGAAAGGAAATTAGGATAAGGATCAGCTGCTTTCCTTTTTCCTCTTTCTTTTCTTCCTTATCCGCGCGTTCTGCTCCTCTTCTTCTTCCCCGACCAGCCCCCCCCCCCGAAGCTGCCGATAGTTCCCCTTGAGAAACTCGGCAAAAACTTGAAATTTCTTCTTCTCCTCTTGTTAAATAACAAGCATAGAACCCAGAAATCCTTCCCCCCATCTGCAGAATTTCGGATCTGATCTGCTCTGCTACTTCCGGCTGCTGCTCTGCTGTATGGGGGTGCGAATTGCTCTGGTTTTTGGTAAGATTCAGCCAAGAAATCATCTCCTTAGCCTTGATTTAACTTGGGTTACTCTAATTTTTGGTTGTGGTTCTTGAATTTGGGTTAATTCCGTGAGCTTCCCCTGCACTTGCTGCCGGCTTCTCCCCCCGCCAGGTTCGGTTCTGCAGCTGGGAAATTGTGGGTAAGTTGACAACCTCCCTTAAGTTCGAATTTTATCCAATTGGTTGTTGCCTTTGCTGAATTTGGTCCTTGTTGTGGCTGCTCTGTGTTGTCCGAATTTTGCTGGAAAAATGGGAGGAATTCCGGTAGCATTTGGCAGCCCTTTAAATGTGTTTTGTTGTTTAAATTATGTGGAAATTACTTGAATTGGCTGCTGTGATGTTTTGTGTGAAAATCCCGTGTGTGTGAGTTGTGGTTTGCCAAAGCCATGCTCTCCATGTGCTGCACGTGAGAAATGGGGGAAATTTTGGTAGCTTAAGCTATGTTTTTAAGCTTGGTTTAAGTGTAAATTAGCTTGAATTGGGTTGTTGTGACTTTGAAGAAAAATCCCGTGAGATTAGTTATTGTTTTGCTAATTTTGGAAGTTGAAGTTACTGTTCATGGGCACTGTTCGCGGTCACTGTTCACACACTGAGGGTTAACAATTAACAGGGATTTAAATGTTTAGTTTGTAATATAAGAACAAATTTGGAGATGTCTGATCATGTGGTGATTGATAGAAATAGCACCGTGATTAGGGGTAGTGCTAATGATGATTTCACTTTGAAATTGTAGTAGTGAGGTATTAATTCTTGGATATTTTGATTAGGTTCCTGATCGTTCTGTCAGTTTAGCACTGAGATCGAATCTTCGGTTTTATGCGAGTGAGGTAAGTAAATTATGGTAATGCCCTTCGATTTTAAAGCATATTTTAAACTGTTTTTGAGATGGTGACAAGGTTTAAATTGATTTTATCAGCATCTGAGTGTGATTAAATTAAAATGAAAATTGTGATGATTTTTATGAAAGTTATTATTTTCTGGAATTGAGCATGATTGGAATGAAAATAAGAATTTCATTGTTTTTCTGGAGTTGAGCATGCCCACATGAAATTTCCGGTTTCTTCTCGGAATTGAGATTAATGGTGAATTACGGATTTTTCTGTAAATCCTGCATGGTTTTGTCTCTGATATGGTCATGTTTACTGTGCCCACTAGTAGGAGGTTAATAAACGCTAGCACATGTCGACATGTTTACTGATATGACCGGTCCATTCTGTAATCTTGCCAATGGGATAATACATTGGTAATTACTGACGCTTGCCAGTGGGAGTTTGTTAAATACTGGTACCATTACTGACGCCTGCCAGTGGGAGTTGTTAAACACTGGTACTACTACTGTGCCCGCCAGTGGGAGGTTTATAAACGCTGGCCATGACCTATAAATGAGACTACTACTGAATTTTTCTTCTACATTAACGGTTTGTCATTGAACACTTTGTTGTTGAACTGAACCGGATTTTGCATTAACGGATTGTCATTGAACATTTTGCTATTAAACTAAATTTGATTCTGATTCTGCATTAACGGTTTATCACTGAATGTTTTGTTATGTTAAACTGTTTATCAGGCATGCTAAAATTTTTACCAAGGGCTATCCATATTTTTACTTATTGAGATATTTCATCTCACCTAGTTTTCCTTGTCTACTATTTCAAGAAGCGAAACCGAGGACGGGGAAACCAAGGGGAGTAACAAGGTAGAAGGCTAGCCATTCTAATTGAATATAAGTTTTAGATTTTATTCTTGAGATTTTGTGATTTGAATAAGTTCCGAGCCTTGTATACTTGTGGGACTCGTCTCACGAGTGCACAGCGTCTACAACGTCCCCGGATTTGGGTTCTGGGGCGTGACAAATGGCCTCGAAGGCTCCTATCTAGATGTATTGACGCCTACATCGTATAAATGGGTATAGATGTCAAGACCTTTTAACCATCCCTTTTTCACCTCACCAATTGCTCTCTGTAATAGGTCACCATGGATTTGTGTTGGGTCAAATCCTTCTTCCCCTTCTCTAGTTGCATACTCATATGCTAATTTTTCCTAAAATCATATAAAACACAAACAAATAAAGTTAATATATGAATATGAAAAAAAATCTATAACAGTTTTGATAATAATATAAATATATAATTATGTCATATATACAAATTTCAATAAATGAAAAGTATATCCCAACAAAAAATTGTAAAAGTTAAAAATTTTTGAGTTATTGAGTATTTAGTAGAAATTTAGTTTAATTTGGTAATCTCCCTTAATAGTTAGATTACTTTGTTTCAAATAATACAATATAATAGGCACTAAAACATCAATAATTTTAATTAATTCATATTGAAAATTTAAAAAATTTGGCAAAGTTACCCCTAAAAATTGACCTTCTACCTTGCCATAACTAAACATAAAAAACAAAATACATACACCCACATTTAACATAATATAATTTGTATAATAATGTTATTTAAAACTAACTTCAATCCATACAAAAAAAATTAGTTAAATCAATTAAACTACCATTTACCAAGCACTACAGTAACATTTTCTCATCTATATCCCATAAATAGATAAAAAAAATAAAGTTTTATATTTCATACTATTAAATACTTATGCTAATTTTCCTGGCCTCATCATTACAATATGTTAGCAATTGATCTTTTCCTTTTGGTTGATGCTGCCTCTTACTTATGTACACCTCTGGAAATGAGGGTGGACAACCCAATGGATTTGCACTTAGCTGTAATGGAAAAATTTACAAATTTTAAGACAAATATATAATAATATAAAAATATTGCTAATAAACTTTTGAAAACACAATTAACTACTTTATCATTTTCTTCCTATATGTAATAACATCCATAGACCCACTAGTGTATGTGACCTTTGGGCCTTTAGCTCAATTTGCCTTTACAGCATTGGACTACCTAATATGATCTTCATCCTAAAAGAATTGATGAAAATAATTTAATATA